ATGACCATTGATCATGATAGCCAGGCTTAGCTAAGTGCATCCCCCTTTGGGAGCTGTCCTTATCAAAAGAAAACATCTTGCATGAATGGTTTCTCTGTGGCTGTCCCACAGAGATGAACAGAGAAATGGGGCCTCATTTGGGAAGCTCAGAAACACTTAATTCTGCATTATTATTAAGCCTTGCCGCTACATGGCTTATGAATAATATCCATGGTTACATTAAGCACAATTCACAGAATACCATCAGAACCTGGAAGTTTGTTTTTCTTAAGTGTTTTTAATACTTGTAACATTTCTTCCTGTTGTGTGCTATCCAGTGCAATTTGTTTTCTCAGCATGATGCACATTGTCAGTTTTCTTTCTTCGGTAAACACCTGAGTGAAATATCCACTTAATATACTTGCCTTTTCTCTTGCATTGTCTTAAAGCCTCCCCTTATTAGCTCAGAAACACTTACACTGAAAAAATAAATTGCATTGTTTATTTTACTCACCATTGGAGTAATCTTTTCTGTCTCTCATTTAACCTTTCAGGGATGCTATTTTATCAGTGTTGCCAATTTATTCCCTAATATCCTCCATTTACTCCCATTACTCTGAGAGCCATATCCTGTCTCTCATTTTCAAGAAAATTAAGTGTCCAGAAGATTCTGAACAGAATGATGAAGCAGTGACTGGACTGTCAAGATTCAAACCTTGTGCTCATATTTAAATTCTGTGATAAATATTATATTATACATATAAATTATTTTACTTCTTTCAAAACAAGAAGCAGGTTTTGATAGCTCTGTGTTCCCTATGTGCCGTCTGTATGGCATGTTGTAGAACATGTTGCCATGGTGCAATAAGAGCAGTCAGCAGAGTAGCAGTCTCATGTGAAAATTAATCTGATCACCATCTGTCACCTATTGTGAGAGGGTCTCGCTGCTTTGGTGCACTGCAGAGTATCATTCTACCTGAAGCATGAAGAGTCATCATTTCCCTCTGTCAATGAGAGAACCATTTCATCTACAGAGCCTGACTGCATTCATACCACATCCAAAAATCTGCTTTCTCCCCCTTCCCTGAGACTTTAAGATCTTTAATGATTAACTGCTTGCACGGCTGCAGATAGTTTTTAGGAAACAGTTTATTGACTTTTAAATTAAAGTAATGTGGTGGATAAATATTAACTGGGATTCATTTTATTACTAGGCATTAAACTAAAACATTCACCTTAAATTATTCAGGTAATACACGACAATATGATATCATTTTTTGCATTACAATAATAAACTGAAAACTCCCTATGCATATACATTGAAAATGGCAAGAAGGACCAGCACATTGCCAAGGAATTCACATAGCTATACACATTGAAATAGACTTAATTTCCCAGCAGAATGTGTTTAATTGTGCAACGATATGATGCCTTTGAGCAAAAAGTTGATTTAAGGTTGTGTCTGGAAATCTGCCATTATTAATAAAATAAAATTCATTACACCATTAAAAGAGAACACATAAAATTTAAATTTACAGTGCTCAACTACTAATTTCAATTTCCTAACAAGGTTTAAATATTAGTATCAAATACATTTCTAGTTTAACATCTTCAGAACCAAAATAATTCAATTATTAATATTTTAATAATGATCTTTCCTGTTGATTTTGTTAGGTTAAATGACTAACAAAATTGGAGTAGTAGGTGATCCTTCTCATTTTTGGAGTTAAGAATAACAGCATCAGAAAATTAATTTAAATTCTACAGAAGATAATGCCAGCATACTTCAAAGCATAGAGATTAGGTAAAGGATATGCAGATACTCTTTTTACAATACTGATTAACAAATTCAAGACAGCACTGTTTTTGTTTGGACTGAACGTAACTGATATTTACTTTAAGCAAAGCTTTTTCATCCATGTTCAGCCAGACCAAGAGAGTTGTTGGATCTGTTATTGAAACTGGCACATTCAATCATTAAATAGTGAAGTGGAATTTGATCATTAAATAACGACAATTAATTTAACTCAGATTAAATAACAATGTCATCCCAGCTGCCAAATGCAGATGACACATTGTGTGCTGCCTGGACTGTAACCAATTAGTCCTCTGCAGAAGGAAAAAAGGTTCATTTTGGGAGTGTGTGGTACTGTACCATGTCATTCATACATGCCTGTTCATTATAAATTTATCAACTAGTAAGAACTGTTTAGCCAGATATAAAGGCAAGTTGAAGAGACGTTGTGTTGTTGGAGCAGGTATTTTTAACACACAGGGATGACAGAAACAAGTTAAATTGAAGATAAAACCAGCAAGCAGATCAATGAAGTCATCAATTAGCACTGCAGATATAGAGCTCCACTACAATGAAAACCACCAGACACACTGTTCCTCCAGGACCTAGAGTGGTAACTATGGCCTTATACAGTACATCATCAAAAGATCTTTTTTTTTTTAACATTAAAGGCCTTTGATGATAAAGATTAGTTTTACATGAACATACTTCCCACATTGTGATGATGGGTAGATAATGACATGGGATGGGAGGTTAATGTAAAGCAGGAAAGAATATGAGCAGGACAGCCTTGTATTTCGGGATGAGCTCTTTGAGAATGCACTTACCAGAATGCTATCTACAAATGTGTTAACTAGCATTATTTTTTCCATAGGTACGGTCATACATGTGCACTGGTGGGTGACCAGATATACATGTTTGGTGGCTGTTCAGGGGATAACTGTTATCACACAGATGTTCATATTCTCAATACAGGTAAGTTGGAGATCACACCACCAGTACACATAAATGGTAGTTAGAAGCTAAAGTTCCTGCTTCTGACGCCCATGTTTCAGTTTATTTTGCAATGTTTCCCTGGTTTGTTTTATTGGATTTTGAACCTGGTTTGTACATGATGCACATGATATCCTACTTCTTCCCTCAACAAAACAACAAATTAAATGAATTTGATTCTCCTGGCTGGATAAGATGGCCGTTCTGCTACAGCAATCTCTCTATGTTGACACATACATTATGTGAAAATGAGATGGTGGTGGCGACCTCCCAGATTACAGTAATAGCTCGAACATAGTGATGTTTACAGTAGTAGTTTCTAAATCTGGGTCAGTAGGAGTTATTCATTAAGAGAGCATGTAGAATTTATGGAGATCTGTCTTCTGAACACCAAGACAAGCCCAGGTGTTTAGTTTCACATTTCACCAGTACATGCACAGCAACATTTGAAAGACTATAGTCTGTCTAGCCATGTTTGCGCTGCAGAGATCTATGCTACTCTTCTACCCAGATACAGTCCAGCAATAGCCAAATACAGATAAGCAAGAATGAGGAGATCATTGAGGGAGGTAGGGATCCAATCCTTCCTGTCGTATCACTCTGATACTTAAGGTCCTCCATGCTAGTGTTATTTATCTCTCATGGGGGAAATGTGTTGGTACTGTATTTGTTGGCTCTATTGTAGGAGATGCACTGGTGTTTTGGCATTAGGGCATGATTAGGGATGCAAAACAAAGGGCTCCTAACTGAGGTCTAACCCAAGTCTAACCTGGGTAGAACAAAGATTGTCATATTTGAAAACATGCACAATTTTTTTTAATTCCAGATTTGTTTTCACAGCCAGCCTGAATTACCTGTCCTGTTTTTTAGCAGAAAGTTCTTTGGCTTTCATTTTGACTTTCAGCTATGGACTCTCAACACTAAATTCAAAATAAGATGGATTAATAGGATGTTCACAGTTCTTTTATGTGTGCCTCATTCCCCAACAACAAACACCTGAATAACAAGAGACACATGTCAGCCTTTCATAATCAGAGGTTCATCACTATCAGTTTTGTTTAATTGATCCAAGTAGAAGCAAATTGACTTAGAAAATAAAAGATGATGAAAATTATAGTTTAGACCTGACCATATCAATACCAAAGGTACAGAAATCCTTCCTATTTAATTACTTTGGATTTTAACAGTGGGTGTCAAAGTGCACACATTTTATGGGAAGCAGTTAAAAGCTTTATTAGAGATAATTCTACTCTACTTGCCTCAGAGGTAAAACTAAGGGTTTGTCTTCTGTTTATGTCTTTCTAGAATAGGGACTTAAATGTCACAGATGCTGCTAATGCAGTCTAAGCCTTGCTGCACAAGGGTTTTCACAGTAGTTTGACCATATTTTAAGGATATTTAGGGATTGATGAGGGTGTTTTTATGTTTCATTTTCTTTTTCTCTTTTTTTGTTTTGTTTAATAAAATAAAAAATACAGTAATAAATAATACAATAAAAAGATCACACATAATACAGCTCCGTGTTACAGTAGCATTATATATCAAAACTTGCTTTGTACTTTGCCTATCAATATAATCACTACTAGGATGTTTTTACTGCAGATACTCTGATATGGCAGAAGTTAGAAGTGAAGGGAGAATCGCCTGTTGGATGTGCAGGTCACACATTCACACCTCATCATGACAAGGTAATACAAATACATTCATCCTTAACAACAGTGCAAATGTGTATATATTCCCACTGTATTTTCTGCTAAAGCTCTTTTTTACACTCCATTGTCATACTGTATATTTTGCTAAATGATGATAAGCAGAGATGCCTAGTGTTAAAATAATATTTATTAGCTGAAACACTCAGTACAGTACATTTACTTTTTACTTTAGATCACAGTATTTAATTAGCATTTTGTTACAAGAAGATTTTATTTTAACATTCTAACCCAGATATCAATGCACATCAATTTGCTTAAGTAAAATCCATTACTTCACTTGCGACCAACTTCCATTCCTACTAAAGCAATTATGTAAAGTCTAACTGTCTGTACATAACAAATACCATCTGTAGTGACTTAAAGTAGCAGACCTGACTAATCCTATGTGGAAATCCTTGTTATGTAACAGATTACAATAAGATTTCACAGTGAGTAGAGTTTTTACAGGCTAACCCAATTTCAGACACAAGGTGCAGCTTCTGAAGCAAACTCTGACCTAATAACCAAATTAAAATGATAATATTAAACTTCAGTGGAAAAAGACAGAAGGGATGCTATTGGAAATACTGTGGACACTCTAGGCTACAGTTTTTATGAGAGCCACAGTAAATACTGGCATGATATTAAGCTCTCATCATTTCTTATGTGCACTGATGTAAACAAAACAATGTTACTTTACACAGTTTAAACATAGTTTAAACTTTAGATGTATTTTGTTTGCTGATTACATGGACTTTTTGTCAAAAACAAAAAATATGGAACTAGAAATCTTGAAGTACATTGTGGAGTCTAATGGACACTGAATTTTGTGCCTTTAACTTATTTCAAGAGTTGGGTTTTTTTTTTATTTAGTAGTTCACCACTGTTGTTACTATTAATGCTACTTCCACTACTGCTGAACTTGTTAGCTGTACTTTTGATACTACTGATTATTTTTGTTTTTTAGTTTATGTATATCATAATAACTAATACCATCTCTATACCAATAATATATGTTTTTGTTTTGTAACATAGGATATATATTTATTTGGAGGTAGATATATCAGCAAAAATGGCACTATCACATCAACAAATGAAATCCATAAACTGAGCATTGGTAAGGATTTATAATCTCTTGTATTATTATTTTGTTGTGATTCTATCTAAATGATCTGTTTTGTGCAATGCATTAATCTTTGTCATTTGATGTGTAGAAAGCTCCACCTGCTGGTGAAAATGATTTAGAAATCTTTAATGTTTCACTTATTCATGACATACTGCCTTTCAAATGTTTGGGAGCTCTGAATGATGCTGATGTGTATGGATCATATCATGAACATAATGTAATGAGCAGAACCTCTTACATCTTTGGAGGTAGACACTACATACTAAATGTCTTATGTCATTCAAGAATACGTGGAAAAATATCTATCAAATTAAATTTGTTAAAAGAAGTGTTAAATACGGTATTTGGGAGCAAATTGTGATGTTTATAATGTATCATTTATTTATATTGTTTATCAATATTTAATATTTGTTTTATGTTGTAAAAGGAGTTGAAGTCCAGTGTAGCACAACTAAAATTTTCCTGATTGATAGAAAATTTATTAACAGAAAAATAATAAATCAAACTCCAGCAGTTACGTTGCTAGTTAGTTTTATACATTTACATTTAATTATTCAATTGAAAATGAAGTCATGGATGATTGTCTTCCCTTGATCCAAAGCCAAAGGTGACAGATAAGGCCAAAAGAGGATCCCCACACTCTTGGTCGAGCAGGTGTTGTCTCAGAGGTTATAAGATTGTGTGCTGTTATCTGGTCTTAATGAGGTCTCTTCCACACTCTTGCTTTGCTTCTTTATTCTGACATCCTGGATTTCAAAGTGCTTGGCTGTTTCCCATATATCCTTTCTGTTTTGGTTAAGAGCCATAATCTCTCATGCGAAAATACAAATTCCTAATGCAAGAAATTGTATATGGCTAATAAAGTGATCTTATCTAACATTCTTAGGGAGACTGGAGTCTGATATCTGAATAACATGACAAACCTAACACACTCGATCATCAAGAAATGGAAGGTGCATTATACAACCCAGACACTGAGTAGTTCAGGACATCCCTCCAAACCGAGTAGCTGGACAGATATGAAACTAGTGAGGCATGCCACTGTGACAACTTTGAAAGAGCTTGAATGGCTGCAATAGGAAAAAGTGTGCAACAGTCAACAATATCAAGAACACAACAATATCCAGAACACTACACAAAACAAGCCTTTAAGGCAAGGAGACAAACCCACCTGAAATCCCATATGTTTTAACACTGCAAAGAAGTTACAAAGGTTTTGTTGCTAGATGCAACACATTCAGAACTTCAACTTCAACTAAATGCAAAGTGTTTTGTCTGGTGCAAATCATCTGGTCAACATCATCCTTACTGTCAAGCATGATGGTGGCAGCATTATGTTATGGGATTGCTTCTCATCAGCATGGACTGAGTACCATGTCAAGACTGAGGGGAAATGGATGGAGAAAGGTGCTAGCATAGTTTTGAGGAAACCTGCTTCAGTCTGTAAACAGAACAGACCAGTGACCCAAAGCACAAGGCCATTGCAACTCTGGAGTGGCTTAAGACTTAGAAAGTGAATGTCCCTGAGTATCCCAGTGAAAGTCCTGACTTAAATCCTAATGAGAACCTGAAAAACTTTAATCCATATGTAATCTCCAAGCAACATGAGAGATCTTGAGCAAATCTGCCAAGAAGAATGTGCAATTGCACAAAACTAGTAAGCAACGTTGATAAAGACTCATCCCAAAAAACTTGCAGCTGTAACGATCAGTTCTTTCCGGGCCCCATGCAGACGACACGATCCAGAATTATGAGGATACAATAGGGAAAATAGTCATGCAGGAGAAGGGTCTGGAGACGGGGGGGGGGCGTGTCCGAGGAGTGCAGGTGTCCAGTGGGAGTGAATCCAAGGCGAACAATCCAAGGGTATATCTAAAGGGGGAATCCAATATGGGAGGCAGAGTCCAAGACCAGGGAATCCATCCAAAGGAACTAAAAACAAGAACCGGGTCGGAACAGGCGGGGCAGGGAGTCAGGAACAGGAAACTAAAACCACGACGGAGCCAGACGCGGCAGGACCCCGGGCTCTCACGAAATGCCTGCGTCTGGCTTAAAAGGTGGAACTAAAGATGGGCTGGGCAAAGGAGCAGGTGTAAACAATGGGGGAAAACGAGGAAGGGCTGGAGCGCCCTTAAGACGGAGAGTAGCAATCGTGACAGCCAAAGGTACTTGGACCAAATACTGTATACTATACAACCAACATATTTTCAGTTTTTTTTCTTTAGGCTTTGTGAAATTTACTGTAACGTATACTACCCTTAGAATTTTTCAGTCTGAACATTCAGATATTTAACAAAATATGAAGTTTTAAAAACTGTGCTTTTTTACAATATGGAACACCACAGGAAATTTCTGAATACTCTGTAAGGGACTGTAGCACCTGGTAGACTCTGCAGTAATATGCAGACATGCTATAGCCACCTACAAGATGAATACTGCAATAAATGTGTGTGCCAGATAAAGCTAAAATCTGATTAAATTTAAAAGGATTCAGCAGGATTTGTTCTTGAGCTTGTTTGATTTTAACATCTGTAACATATTTATAGTCAAAAGCTTTATTTCAGCAGGATTCTCTTTTTGTATCAGTCCATTTATTTTGTTTTAGTTAACAAGTGTGGCCATGTTGTTTAGATCTTACAGCCTTTTATGAACATCAAAGTCACACCTGTTCATTTGCATAATGTAAAAATATAAAAAGCTATGAAATTTAGTCTATTAATTATGTTTAGGCTTGGCTAGTAATTCATAATGTGCCACAACAAACATATTAGAAATAAGTTAATTATACATGTTGATACTGTTACAGCTATCCTTAAAAAATGGAAGTGATATATATTAATTATGTCCTGAATGTTGTTAGCTATTGCTTAATTCCGGCTGACATCTTTAAACCAAAGATACTCCCCCACATCTGTAGACTATACACAGTAAAACGTCCAGAATATGTCTCTGTATATGTCATCCATATATAATTTATAATATATCTGCTTCTAGCCATCTTACATTGTATGAGCCTCAAGATTCCTCTCTAAACTTTGTATTTCTTATCTTGTACCAAACATATTTATTTTGCCAAACTTTTTTTCTGTCTCCTTCTTATTCAGAGTATACAACTTTCCATACTTCTTTGGGATGTCTGTAGTTTCTGCATAATTTGTTTTCATGGCCAAGCTTTTGTATGTACTGTATATTAACACAGGCTGTACACATAGATCAAATACTTTCTTTTTTCAAAGACACAAAGGCACTTTCCCCCCTAGACTCATATTTAATCTTCCAAAAGAACTTCATCCTATTTTTACTTGTTTATTTTAGAGATCCAGCTTTGAATTGATTATATTATTTGACCCAGATACACATAATTATTGGTATCTTATAGCTTGTTGATATTGACTCCTTGAGAAGAGATTATTTGTTAAGGCATCAGTCTAGTTTTCTCCAAGTTAATTCTCAGTCCTGCTTTAATGTTACCATCTGGGCAAACATGATTATGCTGTTTGCAAACTTGTAGGTGAGTATTACATACATACATATGTTAAGTGTCCAAATCCAATGATCTTTAGATGTTTTATTCACAGTTATATTATATTGAAAAACTATATTGCAGTCCCTTAGCAATTATATTTCTACATTTAAATTTTCTTTCTGCCCTTATTAAGCTGATGTGATGACTTGGTAGTAAATGGGGCTAGTTAAGTTAATGGACTTCTGCTTAATGCCTCGGCATTACATTCTAATCAAGTGGTACAGAGTACCCTGTAGTTTGAAAATGAGTGTTTCAGATTTTGTTCTTACAGGAAATACACACCTGTGCAAGCAAAGTGTTTCAGCTGCAGCAATAGCAAGTAACTATCCAGCGTGTGAATCCCATGAGAGATTTACATTACAAGCTCTCTTAATTACACAGTTTGAAACAGTTGCCCTTAAGATATACTGTACAACAAACAATACATACAGTATTAATTTGCAAACATCACAAATGGTATACTTAAAATTAAACAAAGCACCCACTTTTGATTTGTACTGTGTTCCTACAAAACAGTATTGTACAAAATGAAAGTTTTGGTTTCCTTGTATATGAAATATAAAATACATAAAACATTCACCTTGCAACATAGGTCTTCAAACAGACAGTATTTATTCTTTAACACAACCCTTTAAAGTGTGGTTTCAGAGTGAGTATGAAGACATTAAAAAATATCATATACAATGAAGCTAATGTATGTGGTTTACTGTACTTTTTCCATCTATCTGTTTATTGCTCTATATGTTCCTAAAATCTGAGCAGGAGGTTTCATGGCATAACATTAATATCACTTTGTTGAAAATTACATTAAAACAGATAGTTTTGGAATATGTCAGTAAAAGTGATATATTTACCTGAAAAAAAAAATGTAACTGCAATCCATTTTGATTCTTAATGGCTTAATATAACTTTCTTTATAAGTAATAAATGGTACAGATGCAGCCATTCAAAGTGCGCGGTACAGACACGTACGGCAGGTAATTGGCTGCGGTGTCGCGTATCATGACGCAAGATGACGTTGGGTACCGCGGTACGTGATTGGTTGACCGACAGGGGCACTCGTGGTCCGTTGGTC